AATTTAGGCCAGCGAATTATACAATTGTATATGTATAGCAAATTATACAGTTTTATGTTTGCTATGGAGCGCAATTATGCAAAGTTTGCTATAACATACAAACATGAATTTTTTGTTTGCTATATTTGAAAGTTGCCCAAAATAAAATCATGGTAAGATATTTAATTGTGCTTTTTGGTACATGACAATTGACAAAGTTTGAAAGTAATTCAATTTAAATCATGTAACATGATTTGAAGAAATAATATGAGTCTATTTATACATGATCCACAAGAAAATATTCACTCATTTTTATAAAAATTAGGAGGTAGAACAAAAACTTTTCCTATTATTTCCCCCTCTACCCGAGTACGTATAAGCTAGCGCGCAATGACTGAAAAATCGTTAATTAGCTTCTTTCTTCATGCATGCTATAGATTTTTATGGCTTGAATTAAACAAATTAATCTCATAGACAAGTTTTATATATTTTTACATTATTATACGTATTTAATGAATTTTTGTTTACTTTCATATACTCTGAAAAGTAAAAAATCGTATTCTTCAATGGCTTGGCCTATTAATAGGGTATTTTAATTGATTTGATATTTTCTTATAAAATATTGAAGGTCATAGAAAAAGAAAAAAAAGAGTACAAAATCTAATTTGTAACAAAGAAAGACTTCTTAAATATTAAAAGTAGTAATATGTTGGAACTTTGAAATAAACATCAAATTTCATTTATTAAGTTACGTAACGGAAGCACTTTGTATTATACATCAAGATGCTTTGCTTGAAACTATTAATATGCATTTGTTGACCTTTTTGAAGAATCCAAGCAATATAACACGTATAAATAAGCAATAGATAAATAGACACCTTATAAGTTGCCAAATGAGATGTTTCTGTGTTTTCAAGGTTTTTCATTCAATTAGTTATGATACTCTATATCACATTCGTGTCGAATTCTTTAAAAATACATTAATTTTAAAGAATTCAATATGCATTTATTGATATTTTTTAAAAATTCGAACAACATAGCACGAATGATACAATTAATTTTCTTCTAGTGAACCAGGGACGGAACTTGAAAGGGTCAAGCCTTTGGCGAAAAATTACACCTACACATGAAGACAATATATTTATATAAATAAATGTTTTTTTTCTAACTTTCTATTGTTAGAAATAAAGATTTCCAACATCTATGAGAGGAAACTAAATAAACTAAATCAAGAAAATCAATTAAGAATCTGCTCTTATATATAATTAAGTTAGATATATATGGAAGATACAATATTTTCTGTAACACATATATACCATAGATATTAAATTCCCGTTAATCCAACCTTTCATTGTATTTTTCTTTTTATATTTCAAACCCTCTCAAGAAAAAGTTTGACTTATCTTACTTTCAGCGTCAATATTATTTGAATAAGCCATAGATAACAAGACACGTTATATGTTGCCAAATGTAAGATGTTTCCATGTTTTTAAGGTTTTTCATTCAATTATTTATGATACTATATATGTTATGGCCGGTGGCCGCTGCCACTCAAACCTACTTTCATATTTCTACGCGATTCATTTGATTCGCGGATTAAATTATTCAAGAATTAGAATTTTTAAGTTAAATTATCCCATCTAAGAGAGAGGATGAAATAATATCAAATTAGAGATAATATGTGATATTATGGATTAAGTTTGAGACTAAATTTATAGTTAAAGATAAAGCTAATATTATAAATAAATTATAATTTTAATAGCAAACATAATTCTGAAGTATCTTATTTTATCAGCGGAAGCAGATAGATGAGTTTTTTGCTTCGTGGAATTGTGTTATTGAAAACATGGACCCACACTCTTTGTTTTTATATGTAAATAAAATCAAAGATGGTAAGATATGTAATTATTCCTTTTTGAGTACATGACAAAGTTTGATGGAAAGCAATTAATTTTAAAAATATATAACATGATTTAAAGAAATTCTATTTCACACTGATTTGAGTTCTATCAATACTCCAAATTGTGAACAATAGAAGAAGATTTACACCAAAACTTGTGAAGAAAAGGAAACACTGATTGCATTTATCCAATGAACTTTAAACTAGTGTTCAATTAATGGATCAATGATATCAACTATAATATGATTAATATCGTATAGATATCGATCAATAAAGTGTGAAAACTAAGAAAGTTCAAATATCTAATAAAATTATCGAGGTGGGCACAAATTGATCCATACAGCTTAGGCCTAGGCCGGGGCTGGGAGAGTTGTTGGACCAACTTGCAATGTTCAACTAAGAGAAAAGAAATGCAACCAAATAACAAATATATTTGAAAGCTATCTTCATAGATTCAAGCCAACAAACAATCTCATACTATAACAATACAAATATATAACAGAAAAACTAAATGACTGCAACTTTCAGCTGCTACCTATTCATCACTATATAACGTGCATTACTAGCGAAATTACGGTTTCTAAGATGATTACCAATATGTACATAGAATCTGAATCTAAGCTGTTTGCATCTGGAGATGATTGCTGGCAACACGTTCTTCTTGTTTCGTTGGTTGATCATCTGAATCCAGTTCTGGTTGATTAAGGTTCCGGACGAATTGAGTGAATGCAGGGAAATGTTCAGGAGAAAAGAAATCAGCACCCATTCTTTGATATGTGAACAAGCTCATTTCCTTTTCACTTGACAACAACTTCTTTATCTGTTCGAAACCATTTGGTGCATTTGCAACCATTGAGTTTTGCCCTAAGATTTCCACTCCGTGCTTTCTGCAAGATGATGTAATTTGAGCAACTAACAACTCTGGGCTCGAGAGAGATTCATTTGGCTGGTGATTGTCCGAGAGATCCATCCCAGGCAAGATAAGTTGGCACGAATGCTTTGCAAACATCTCAACGACTTCTACATAACCATCTCTGTTGGCTGTGTTATAGAAACCGGCTGTTAGCTCGCTAGGATGGGATCGGGTTTTATACCAAGAATGCACAAGAGGAAGTTTGCCACAAATGGAGATAGGAACGTCATGGAATGTTTCAGTGGCAAGTGAAAGAAGTCGGCTTCCATGAGAAATGAGCTGCTCCGAGTACCAAGAAAGGAAAAAGTTACCATAAGTTGTCTCCCAAGATCCTTCATTATCCTTGAAGAAGGTGCTTGTCATGGGTGGTTGATCAGAACCAGGGGCATCGTGTGGACCGCCCAATCCCCACAGAGGATTTCCATTGCTCTCGGCATACTGTTTGAGAGAACTCAGCATGTATTTATCATAACACTGAAACTCACCAGCTCCTTGATGATTGTTCATTTTGGATGGATTGTGATGAGAAGGATAGCGAAGCTCGCCTTCTGGTCCTAGACCAAGGGAAACGCCCTGAAAGATGACACAATGTACTAATGAGTTTTAACTTTATACATTGAAAGATAACTATCATTAGATTAGATTGATGCAAAAATTCTTAACAACCAATGTTAAATTCAATGCAACCATAATGCCCAAAAGCTTGAAAGTTAAACTAAACAATTCATACCGTGATTGTGGAGCCCATGAACGGTGAAAATGCAGTCTTGAAGCTCTCACAGAACTCTTTGTACACTTGAACCGGAGTCTTCCCATCGAGGACAGGAACATCAGTAACAGCAAATGAAAGAGAATCCTTATAGTGTTGTCCTGATTGGTCCTTAAAGAAGATACTAGGATCAGATTCACCAATCTGAGAAACCCATTCTGGGAGTTGAATTTTGGCTTCCTTTGATGCATGGAAGGAAAGTGACACATGAAGCTTAAGTCCCAACTTTTGGATCATTTCAGCAAGTGCAAGGTAGCCTGTCCAGTCATACTTTCCCCTGGTTTCCTTCTCAACAACTCCCCACCAGACGGGGAGTTCTATGCCATCTACACCTAGTAACTTCAATGCTTTTAATCCAGCTGCAATTGCTCTAGCATGGTTTATTGTATTACTACTTGAAACAGCATCAAGTGGCAACCCAACAAATAGTTTCACACCATCACTCTGCAAGAGAATATCCAATAGAGCAGGACATGTCAATATATCAATACAACAATGTTTTAATAACCTAAAAAAGCGTGAGATGGTCGATGGGGCTTGAAGCAAAAAGTGAGAAATGAAGCCGCACACTCCATTATCCATCATGAAAATTTCAAAACTAAAAGAATATCAAACACATTTGAATCTAGTACTATGGTAATTACAATTAATATAATCAATCATACCAGTATAGTCCAATTTCTCAATGATATTCCTATTCATTGAACTATGAAGGACATTCATTCTCAGAGTTAGCTTCAACAGTCTTTATCTAAAGTTCTAAGAGACAATTGTGGTATATAAGAAGGCAACTCAATACTTCATTTATTGACCAAGGAAACAACATAAGCTCAAGTTGCATGATTAGAATGGTAAGAACACCACAAGATACAATTACACACCAATATTACTACTACAGCAACAAAAATATATCCAGTGTACTCCCACACAGTGTCGGAGCTAGAAGTTTCATAAAAATGTCTAAAAATAGCAGCTTGTTATGTTAAGAGTGTCCAAAATCTGTTATTTAGTCATTTCGTATATCATTTTACTTGTATATATGCTATTTTTTTCGATGTAGCTACACCACTCATCCGGACCTTACCCTTACCATCTAAGAGGTAGGGAGGTTGTTTCCAATCTAACTCAGGCTCAAAAATAACATATCAACATTATTCCAAACCCCCAAATTCTAAATCAAAAAAACAATATGACAAATAGCATATTCCCTACAAATCTCAAAACAAAATAAATGAAAACACGAAGATCTGGTAACTTACCGTCTTAGTTTCTCTGTTATTCTTCAATATGAGTGGTTCAGGTTGCGAACAAGCAGATGCTTTCAAACTAAACCTATTCAAAGACTTGGAACGCAATTTTATACACAATTTCGAACTTTTCAAAGAAGATGAAGAAGAAGAGGAGGAGATGTTTGAATTGAAACTCTTTGTAAAACTACAATTCCCAACTTCTCTACATCCCAAATCATTCCTACCCAAATTCACCTGAGAACTTCCCATCACTGAAACCTCCATAATTTTCCTCTGAAACTGAAATATAACCAGAAAAATTTGGGCGTTTTGTCAGATAAACAAATTCTTGACAATCAGCAAAAGGAGAATTTCAAGTAATTTGGTAAACTGAAGGATTTAGTGCAAAAAAATTGAAGAAATTATACAAAAATTTGAGATTCAATCGCATCTGGGACCAGTTTTTATAATAATTAAGAAAGAAACCAATAGAAATAGTGCTAGCTGAATAAGCCACGTGTCATCTTCACAGTTAAACGAAAATTCAAGCCGCATAATTTAACCTTTTATTTATTTCCTTTTCTTGTCCAAATACTCTCCGCTGTCACATATTAAATATCAACTTGCACAACGTTTATTTATTTTATATAAATTTAGTTAAATCCAAAATTGACCTACTAACACACCGGTCAAGAATGATTATATAATTGTTATCTTAATTTATTTTTAATCAATTTCAAATAATATGACAAAATTATATTAAATAATAATAATTTTAAAATAGGAAAAAAAATGAAATTGGAACCACCTAAAAAAGAAAACAGGAGAAATTAAGATGGATATTTTTGTGTGGATAATAAAAGATGAAAGGTACTGAGCTGATATGTCAAAAAAGGGCAACAGAATTGATAACCAATTATTTTATTTTTTGTCACTTTTTGCATCTACTGTTTAAATCTCAATAATTTAGAAAACCATAAATAATATGTTGGGACACGTGTCATGATCTTGTAGCTTTGCTGACTCAGTTCCATGCCAGCTTTTCTTTAACAAAGCATTCATTTGATGTGAAAACAGCCATTTAACAATAGAATCAATCTCAAAGAAATTGTGGATAAGATTTATGCTATTATGGGGGAAGAAAACAAATTAAATTTATGTTTAACATGTTTTATGCAATGGATTTAGGATTGGATCTTGACTTACTATTGCAAATTTATCTTTTATTATTTAGATGGATCACATATGAGATTCAAGCACTATTTAAATTAATCATCAAAATTTTTTCTCATAAATTAATTATTTTTTTGAATATTTAATCAATAAGATAGGCGTTGAGTTCATCTAAAATATTACTCATAAATATAATCAAAATGAATAATTTTTATTTCTAAAATTCATGTAAAAAGTAAATGTTTAAAAAATTTCCTTTGTATAATTATGCTTAAAACTAAAAGATCGATTGTTATTATCACAAATACGAAATTAAGATTGTGAATCTCTTCTCTAGACATATAGTTGATCTAGGTAAAACAACTAACTTCTCTTGCGCATAACTAGAGTTTTTCTGGTCAATCTAGACGATATCTTTTTAAGTTTGAGAAAATGGTCAAAAGTCTCCTCAACCTATATTCGAATTTTCAGACACGTTGTGTGGCAACCCTTTCGAAAGTATACTACCCTTTTAAGGAAAAAATCTAATTTAATACTTGCAATTTAAAAAAACGTAACGAATGTCACATTGTTATAGTCTCGTAGAGGCATTAGGTTCATTAAAAATGTAAAAGAAGAGAAGTCTGCCCATTCACACATTATTTTGATGTAAAACTTAAATTGCGTAAAATTTATTCATATGGCGGAAGAACCCTTCCAGAAAAATCTAAGCAAATAACTTACGAGTATTCCTATAATGTTTTATTCTCACACTTGAAAAGAATATAAAAGAAAACTCCTAGCTTTTGAGTACAAAAATTAGCCGGTTCACACTTCACACAAACTTTTAAAACATATAGTGAATCTAATATATTAGAAGGTTTGGGTTTACACACCCAAAAAAAAAACAAAATATATATCATACTTATATTACAACCAATGATGACATGATCAAATTAACCATCAAAATTCATGTAAATCTACAATACAGAGATTATGTACAAGTCCCAAGGTTTGTATAAAATATAGATGCCTATATGCAAATGTTATCTTCTTAAGGCTCTCAAAATCTCCATCTTCAATGCCCAACTGCATGCATCCCTCGAACATTCCCTATGATAGAAACTACTATCGCTAAGCATATAACTTAGTGATGTAAAAACTATAGGTTCGAAGTCCTTAGATTCGCCAATACACCTTTCTCAAGTCATGGGATCACCATTAAAATATAATAAATTGATTAAGTAAACAGTATATACACAGTATCAAGTTCAATATTCTAAAATCCAAATATCAAAAACGTTCATAGCACTATTTTCCAAGAGATATAATAACAAGGATCGCCCAATGTATACCATATCTTCACACCAAGCACAAGCATGTACAAAGAAGGGTCCGCATGCTGTATCAAGAAGGGTCTAAACTCAATAATCAAGAGAACCAAGAACCATATTAAAAATGACTTTCTAGTTCGTACTTAAAATGAAAAACTTCCATTCTTCAGACGGACTAAAAATCTAAATTCTAAATGGAAAATGGTCTGAATCAAGAGACATGCCAATAGTGACAAAGTCACAACCACAAGAAGGACGAGGTCCCAACAAGAGTGTCATGTGATCAAATAACTCGTACAAGTGGGCGAGTTACACAAGTGCCCTTAGTGTATTATGCAAAGTGATAAGAGGTAACCAGAGTGTACCAAAATAAGCTTTCAGATGATATACTAGAAGCTAAAAATAGTACAAGTTTATACACAAACCTCAATGCTTTAGCATAGAAACAGTCCAACACCACTTCAAGAGTTCAAACTGTAGACCAACCAATGTATGAAGGTCCTCAACTTGTTCACAAGTATATACAACCTTTAAAATACAATTAAATAAATTCTTTAATGCCATATCAATAATGTTGACATAAAACAGGATTATCATCAGAAGTAAGCTTAGCCTGTACAAATATGACTATGCTCACAAAACAGTATTTCTGATCAGTCTAGTACCTCATGTCGCAACTTAGATTTGAAAAGTAAAATGGCAAAACTAGACTTTATAACTTTCATGAAAAATGTAGGTACATATTTTAAGATTGCAAACAAACAAGAATCGCCACAAAATATATTTTATACAAAAAGATATATCAAAACACTACAAGTTGTTCATACAAAGTTTCTCATTTCAAAATCTGGACAGAACTTGTCCTATGTTGCGTCCCATATTTCAATTTCATAACTGCTAAATTAGAATTTTACATGAACGCAAGAGTTGTAGATATACGAATTAGATTTCCAAATCATATTTATTCACTGTAAACTATGTTCTATAGAACGATATATGCTCCAACTACCTAACATTATGAAACTCATAAACAAATTTCATCACGAGAAGGGTGTGTCTCGAATTCCAAAAAAAAAGTATTAAGTTCTTCTCTTGTGATTTTGAAGAACAATATGTTTAGATGAGGTTCTAAGGTTCTTTGACTTGAAAGAAATGAATTTAGGTAAATGAGTGAAAATATATAGTCACACAAGTGATGTTTATCACTTGTGCAAATGTCCTTCAAAGGTGCTGTCCAAATAAAAGTAGGTTGCTCAAACAACATACATATATACCTGATACTAACACTTTTAATTTATATGTAATTCTAATTAGAGTATTACTTAAATACACCTATACAATACCTTAAATTACTATCACAATTATGTTAAGCGAGGTTACAATTATCACAAAATTTCAAGTTCACAAAATAAGAATAAAACATATTTTAGTAATTAAGCAATAGTGTATCGACATGGGAATATTGACCTAGTATTTAGGGGTGTTACACATTGTATATTACAGAGATACCGTTGGATATCTAGAAGATCCACCATTTAAATAACCAAAGATATTTTCTTCAGGCTTTATTCTAGATTTACTCGAAAATATTGAGAGCACTGTTAAGGTAATATCTAATTTTTTTTATGTTTTTCCTAGAAGAGTATGCACAACTTTGTCACGATCCGAAAATGGGTGTGATGGCACTCGTCTTATCCCACCAAGAAAAGTTAGCCTAAAACTCAACTATTACCATAAAATGCAAAAATTCTATAATAAACTCAAAAATATCCCAAAATTTGATTGTCACGTGTACAAGCCTCTAAATTACAATTGATTCAAAAGAAAATATAAGTCTCATATGACATTGTTTCTGAAGTACAACAGAATCATAAACAGGAGTAAGGTCTGCTGAGATGACAAACAACTACCTCACAGTTCTCCAAGAAGCCTCGGAAAAGAAATGAATATACCACAAAGGTCCGGCTAGTAACCTACAAAAAATTGTAGAAGAAAGGGATGAGTACCAAAGCACATGGTACTCAACAAGTAAACCTCTAAATACAAGCTAACAGGATGAAATACGGGTACTCCTACCACCCCAACCAAACCTCCACAACTACAACCTGCATAAAAATCAGTTCAACCTAACAACTCACAGTTTACATAGCGCATAACTCAACAACAACACTTAGATAAATTATATATCCTCTACAATAACGCTTCGACAAATTACATATCCTCAACAACAACAATTTAACAAATTACATATCCTCAACAACCACACTTTAACAAATTATATATCCTCAACAACAAACTCAGTATTCATCCTCAACAATAACATTTTAACAAATTACATAACCTTAACAACAACACCTTAACAAATTAGAGTTCTATTTTCCTTTAGATTTTACTCTCAAAGCCTTAGCATCACTATGTAATCACATTAGCCTCACCCTTAAGCTCTATGATCAATGGCCTTACTCTCAAGGTTTCTTTCTTTATCTCTTTTTTATACCTAGATTTCAAGGTAGTTTGATCACATCTCTTATTATTAGGTGATTCAAGTCTTAATTGAATCCTAAGGGTTCAATTCTAACATTATAAGCCAAGATACTTCCTATTTGATTCAGTATAGATCAATTCATATTTATATGATCATAACTATGATCAACTAGTTTTTAAGACAAGTGAAATAGGAAGATCAATTTAGAACCACCAACCTTGCCTTTAATGGATTAAACCCACAATGATCACCTTCATCAATTTTAATTAGGGTTCACAAAGGAATTCACATGAAATCATAATAATAATCATCAAAATAACATTTTTTAAACATAATTGAATGTTATTAACTAGATTGGTATCACATTCAAACCCTATCCACAATGCAATCAAACCCCTAACTAGAATCACCCCTAAGTAGAATGGGGTATTTTTATTCACAATTGGGGTTTTTATGGGGGAT